CAAATTAGGTATATCATGTGTCGCTTTTTCTCTATCTTTCTCACTCTGCTCTTTATGGCCTTTGTCATCTGATCATGACATCATGATTAAAATTGATTTCTTATACTTCGTCAAAATCGTGGAAGTAAAAATAAGTAGAACTAGGCCCTACAAACGAACGTGCGACTGCACGCATATATCTCGTACATCGATATTCCCACGCTGAAAATCACTATTTATAATCAGCATGATAGATCAGCTAATTTACCTCCACGATTTACGAGATACCAAAATGTGCTTATCATCACTTTGCAATAAAGTGGTAAAGTTCTATCTATATCGCCGGATATAGACGTGAGTAAGTAAAATGTACATTGGATAGAAGATTTAAGCATGTATTTATGCATGTTTCTAAATTTATTTAGACTCTAGGTCAATCGTCACTTCTGTTATCGTGCTTTTAAATCTAATTTCATTGATGAATATTATAATAAATATAATCTATTATCATTTATTTGTGAGAAAAACAGGAAAACTTTCTATTTCTAGCTTTTTATTTTCACTCTCCTCTAGCCGCTTATTAAATAGGATTTTATTATCAAGTGAATAATACGGTTCTCGTCATTCATTTTCTTAGATCCCGACGCAAAAATTAGACATCAAGGCTGAAAGCAAGATCGGTTCGTTGGACAACGTAAAGCACAAGCCTGGTGGTGGGGACAAAAAAATTTTCAACGACAGAGATTATCTTCGGCAGACGAGTTCCAACGTTGAGAGTTTGAATGGCAGCGGGTCTCAGGTATATTTCTTCTGTAAAATAAAAAAGTCTTGAGAATATAATTTCATCATGGAACTTTGTTACTTCATTACTTCTCTCTTGAGAACTTTTACGCGGATTTCTCTGATTTTTTGCAAAGAAACATGTCGTAACGATGAAAAGTTCCAGTCAGACAACATTTCTTCTCGAGATTTTTCGCATTTAATCTGCACCTATGTGCTTAAACACGCGTTGCATGCGTATTCACAATGGCATACACAGCACATTTAAATACTAGCTCGCATTGATAGATAAATAATTGCGAAAAATATACATATAATAATAGAAAAACGTTTGAAATATCATATTGGAAATATCATCTTAGAAATTATTTAAAACAGTCTTCGATAAGACTGGTCTCCGAGATAAAGAATTTATTTGTTAAATGTTTCATAATATTTCTGATCGCAAAACTTTGTTCTTTATTGAACTTCTCTATTTCTGCTGGTTGTTACCTTCGCAAAAATACATTTATCGTGATTACGCAATTGCGGTCTCCATGTCACAGATATTAAGGGTCATTAATTCTGCACTCTAAATTAACCTTTACGGGACGGAAAAATTACAATGGTGGCACTGAAAGAGTGATATATTTTGAAGCAGAAATACAATAAAATAATAAATTATAACAAATTTTACTCTTACTTAAGGAAAATGTAAAATTTAAAAAATAGACTCCTACTCTCTAAAAGTTAAACTTAATGCAATTGTTTTTGTTTCTTTCTAAATCTCATTCGCAAAAGATGGAAAACTGAAGAAATAATTAATAAAGTAGATGTTGAAGAAGCACATTCTAAATCGATAAATGCAATACTATTATGTGCAATTAATCAGGATAAGCCGCATGAAACGAGATAGGAAAATTTGTTTCATGGAAAAATCTTTTGAAACTATCTAAATTATTAGAATAACGTCTAATGGCAATATTGGTGAATGCTAGTCTGTCGCACAGCCTGAAAGAGTTAACGCGCATTAAAAGACATTAAAAGACATTTATTTATTTTACTCATACCCATTTCTACCAATGTAGATTAACTTTAATCTGGGTTCAACTTACTTTTATCTTCTTCTTATTTTTAGAATTAAAAAAAGATGAAGAATTAGTTGAACCGAGATTAATTAACCTGCCATTGATAGAAACGGGCATCAGTCGATTTATTCAGTTCGCAAGGATGCTGCAGGCTTAATCCTGATATCGTGTCTTGTGCCCGCAGAGCCCCGTGCCCTCCGGCGCGATCACCGGCAAGAACGGCCTGCCAGCCTCGGACGAGAACCTGAACCAGGAATGCTAGGTCACGAAAAATCGGCCGATAGACCCGCTTTAATTATATCATTTGCATGTGATTAATCACGTTTATCCATCTACCCCCTTTGGAGGACGAACGAGCGCTGTCCTTGCGCGATCGAGAAAAACTTTGAGATGTACGGTGCACGGAACTTCTCGAAAAAATGAGCACCACGATCGATATCTCGTCTACGCAAACGACAAAATTTGCGCGACGGACGAATTAAATTATTACGTCAACAAGGCAATTATCGCGTTGATTTGTTATCGAATATAACGCGAGGTTCCCGAGTACTTTCATCTCACGTTCACAGATTTTAATTATCTTCAAAAGAAAGATAAAGCGAATACGTCATTGTGCGTTGCGTGAAAACACTCTTTATCTAAATATTTACGTAAGTGCGCAAATCATAAAGTAAACATATAAAAAAAACAAGAGAACTGAGAAAAATATTTCACTTTTTTGTAATACAGACGAAGAACAAATTTGAGGAACAATCTCTATGTGCATGGGGGTTCTTGTCTTTTTAAGTCTTAAGCGATAGCTTTTTTTATCAAGGATTTCTGTCACGGTACGTCTTAGCGATTTCTAAATCATTATGTCGACGCATTTCTCATGCGCCCTCGCTACGTGAATATTAATATTTGCGAACTTTTTCGATTTTTGATACGCATTTATGTCATAATCAACATATATCACGAATTGCAGTTTAGTTGTCTCATACGAATTTAATGTTTTTCAATATCGTAATAGAGCGTAATCGCTTAAGAAGTTAACAATACCCGTGAAGATGACAAAGTTATCGACAAAGAATAGGGCAAATATAATTATAAATGTCTTTAAAGCTAAATACCCCCAAATTTTATTTTGCAGATGACAAGAATGTGTAATTTTTTAAATTTAATTTATAATATTGCCAATGATGTTCAATTTCGCAAGTAAATTCTATCCTTATTACTTAATTTATCACTAGTGTCATATTCGCTTTCGTATCTGTAGTAGATTCTAATGAAAGTACAAAGATCACACATACCCGTCGTTGTAATGCGCGCAGGAAAAACCATCGCGTCCTCTTAGGGGGAATAGATGTTAGACAAACGCGCGTACATTAATTTCCACATGAGGAAGTCTTAACAGCCGACAATCCCTCGATATCGTGCGTACGTTGCATTTCATCGGAATTACGGGGTACATATGCCATCCCGAATAGTTAAATCGCGAACGACGATGTGTAGTTACTGTTCACGTGAGCAATCTTTGACACGTAGTCGATCTAACGATTTCTGAGGAGATGGAAGACTATAGCAATCTTGATCGACGTGTAGATGAATCGAAAGGAAGCCACAAGCGTTGCGTCGGCTTTCAGTTCATCATGGATAACTTAGCTTTTTGCGCCATAAGTATGTACGCGCCATAACATAAGTATGTATTGTAGTCACGACTACGATATAAAAAAAATCACGTTGCTATGTTTCATTGAGTGCATTCCGTTTCACGCATAATACGCATAATATATCATTTTATCCTTATTGTTTATCGAATATTAAAAACCCTAAATAGCCACACAAGGATAAAATAACTCCAAATTCTTTGGAGTGGAATCTTACTCCATAAAGAGTGAAAATTGAGCTACTTTTAATAAAAATCTTGATAAAGAGATCTTGACTCAACTTTCAATCTTTGAGAATGATTTTACTCTTCAGAATAAGATGCACTCTAAGAGTTTTAGAGAGAATACATCATGCGTGAAACGGAACACTTTGTCAGAGCTTTATACGCGGAGTTATCCAAGATATGCTCGGTGCAACGAGGTCGCGAGGGAGGAGAAGAAAGTGCCAGAAGAGCCGTGTAACATGCAAGTGAATCGCGATGTGTTCGCGTGAGACACCCGTCAGGTACATTTGGGTTGATTAGAGAGATTGCGCTTAGATGACAGGACATACGAGATATTTGTGTAAACCTTACTGTAGATACGTAATCAACACATTGCATCCCACGAGTATATATAATATATATATAAAATATCGCTGATGCGAAAAAAAAGAGCCATCGGGAGATGATCAGTGTTAAGGGTGAGTGTTTGTCAACGGAAAGGAGAGATCGATGATGGAGAATTATTGCGGCCACGCCAAAAATAAAAATCTCTCACTTACGTCACTACACTACCTTAGGTACCTCGTGCAATTTACACATCGCTAAAAGGAGAGAAAAAAAAGAAAAGAAGAGGGGGAGATATGTAATACATTATTTACACTGTATTGCTTCCACATTATTAAGAGATAATTTGATTCAATTAATGTGCTGCGATGTTTCACGAAGAATGATAATTAACGTTTAGATCTTCGTAATTGTCATAAGTTACCACGATCGCAATAGTATAACAACGCGTTCGCGCGTCTTGGATTAGGATCGCTCTGGAGAGACATTATAATAATATTTTTGTTTTTAAATTTATTCCGTTCTTTGTCTCTCAACACCCGAACACATCCTCCCCCCAATTTTCTTGCTGAGAAAAAAGCGGCTGCATCTCCTTTTATCTTCATAAGAATCTATCTTTATTTATCTTTATAGAAAATACACATGTAGAACATAACTATTAGTCTTATTATACAAACACTAAAAACAAAACGTGCAGCAAAAAATATGTGTAACAATTGTCACGCGATAGGTAACATCCAGGAGTAAGATTCTTTGATTATATTCTTTTTAGGATCCATTAAAATTCGTCTAATATAATCTACTTAAATTTCTAATTTATTAACGTTATAAAAGCAATTCTTTAAAAAATAAAAAATTAAAAGTAATGAAAATTTGTACTATTTGTAAATATAAAAAATATTTGCTTTCGAATAATTATTGAAATTTCTATTTTTTCAGAATTAGGCGTTATATTTAATTATCTTCTATTGAAGAAACGAAATAAACGAATAAATGTAAATAGATTTTTTCGAAATTGATTCTGTTAAAATTAATTTCCTTTTGTATCATTTGAAATATAGAATGATGAGACTTAAATATATCATTTCAAGCACTAGAAACTCGACTTTGCAGGCCTGTCAGTTAAAAATGAACTATTTCGTGCGCGCAAGATTTACAATACGAAGATTTATTATCGACCCTGAAACTGATTCCTGCAGTTTAGCACGAACGGTACCGGTAAACACGAATAGCTCCTCAGTCCTTCCTTATCGATACCTTATCTACTTAGAAGTATTTAGAAAATTGCCATTTACTTAAAAGGATAATACGCACAGCGTGTACTTCACCCTCACGTACAATTCACTCAAGATCCGCAAAGCATCGCTACCATTCACCGCCTGCCAATCAAGGTCAGTTTGCACATATATTATGTAACAAAGGGGTGCATCGAGTTATTAGCTCGCTAAGTGATTAATTACGACATTACTAGATGCACCCAAATCTATGACTCATCTTATTCCATCGTTGAGCACATTTATACATATATAAATGACTGTTGCGATTCTTCCCAGATTCGAACTTCCGTGCAGGATGAGTCAAATTCAAAGATCGGGAACAACGAGATATCCCAGCCTCAACCGCCGCCCTCGACGCCGATCAAAACGCATGGCATTGTGTCACCCTCGTCTGTCGTGACACCCCAAGCCGTTAGAAGCGGATTGGCTAGATCTCCGGAAGCCACGACGCCCAGAGGGCAACTCATGCAGGAAACGGGGGGTCCAACCCTCGCAAACGGACGTGCATCTAAAATACCTTCGCCAGACGTAACGAATAGCAAAGGCATGCCGAAGAGTCAATCACCAGGAAGGTCACCAACTTCTCCGCGTCCACCTAGCAGCTTACGCGTTAGATCCGCCAGCGATAAGTCTTCGCCTGAGACACCTAGAAAAACGTCACCCGGTACACCTAATAGAGTATCCCCCCGCACACCGAGGAAAACTCCATCCCCCAAGGAGCTGCGTCTTCCGAAGCTCACGTCTTCGCCAATATCGCAAGAAGCAAATCCAGCGATTGCCGAAACTCATCAGAAAATCACTTTACCAAAATTGATCGAGCATCCATCGTCGCAATCCGCCCGAATGGCATACTAGATCGAGCTATCGAATCAAAAATATGATGGGCTTTCTAGCACTTTAGTACAGAATATCACAGACTCCTCGCATTTGCGACTGATTTCAAACTGAGCTTTTCTCGATAAACAAATTTGATTAATTAAAACTTAATTCATAATCTCATATAAATAAAAACTATTAAATTAATTTTTAAGCATTGTGTATGAAAGGAACCACGAGATCTGGAGCATTCTGTTCATTTTATAAAAATAAGAATGCAAATTTAATTAATAACTTAGAAAAAATAACGATAGAAAAGTCAACAAACTACACTTGTTAAAGCAGTTATCTTTTTATTAACTATAATTCTAAGTAAAGATAAACTTTTTTATTTTAGGACTAATTTCAATCGAATTGGATCGTAAATAAAATAATAATTCGAGAAATGGAACGAGGACTTGTATCCGCAAGTCCTATTTTTCCAATTAATTCACGTTTCCAATTCTGTAATTTCCGTATGTGGAAGATTAATGGATATGGGAAACGTATTCAAATATAAATTATTTAACGATATTATTTTTATGTTATAAATGATTATATTTACTTTATTATTCTTAGATCACAAAAGAAACTGACTGAAATTCTATTATTTTTCAGTATATATTTGGACCTTATAAGTCACATATTTTTTAAAAGACATTTTCAATAACTTGATTATAAATTAATAATTTATCTTTTAAAACCACAATTTGGGAAACTATACCTAAATAAAAAGCTATATGCAATATATAATTATTGAGAAATATAATTAAACTCCATCCGTCATTGTGCAATGAATGGGAAATGAATGGGATAAAAAGGATATGAAAGACAAATGATATCGACAAATCAAAAATTAATATACGTGAGATTTATAGTAAAAATATATTTAAATTATATCATAGTTTTAGATCGATAGTATCGAACACACATTCGCAGTATAAAGTTATCTCCATCCAAAATTATTTTGCATTTAAGTTTCATGTAAAAACCTATAAAAATACAGTAAATTCAATGGGTCATATAAATCTACATTAGTATTTTTTTGGCAGTGGAGGTGGAATTACTTTAACCCCAGCGAAATAAGGATGAGTCAATCCTCTTTTTGCCGTTATCCTCTGATTAGGATCGTACGTCAGCATTTTCTAAAAACATAAAAAAAAATATAAGTATATACAAAAATGTGCACTTTTTTGCAAGGTAGATCCTGGTTTTTCCTTACTGAAAGTAAGTCTTTGGCATCGTCATCAAAAGTCGGTAAAATGTCGTCTATGTTAGACGCCTCCCATCTTGGGAATCTAGATGTGTAGTCTGGAAGCTGTGACACCCCCGGCCAGATCGTTTCGTCTGGCGTACCGAGCATGCGAAATATTCTAAATAACTGATCTATTTCAGAGTCTCCGGGAAATAGAGCTCTCCTGGTTGCCTATAAAGATCGTATTATTTTGCAGACACCGCGGTTTCACTCCAATATTCAATAGATTCAGATAACTCTCGCGCAATCTTCACATACCATTTCTGCAAATATACAACCGAGACTCCATATGTCTAACGCACAGGTGTACAATTTAGTTCCTAGGAGAACCTCTGGTGCGCGATACCAAAGCGTGACAACCTCGTGAGTATAAGTGCGAACGGGCACACCGATCATTCTGGCCAATCCGAAGTCGGCCAGTTTAATATGACCCTCTCGATCTATCAATAGATTCTGCGGTTTTAAGTCTCTGTGCAATATACAACGGAGATGGCAGAAGGAAATTGCCTTCAGCAATTGGCAGAGGTAGCTCTGTAACACAAACCGCCCCGTTTTTAAAAGACCTATGCATGAATACAGGCGCGATGAAATACGGTTGAGATCCGCATTACCTTGACGAGAGCTGGTTCTAAGCCCCCTTTAACGGAGTCTAACAGCTTTTTCAAATCCTGCTGTAGAAATTCAAATACGAGGTACAGATGATTATCGCCGTCTACGACATCGAATAACTGTATGATGTTTGGATGAGCGAGCTGATTTAAAGCAGCACTATTTAATTAGTCAGCAAAATTGAGTAACTGTATTTGACGAATATGTTAAAGAAACATTATATATTCATAGGAAAGTTTCTCTCTTTTTTTTTAACAAAACTTTCCGCTTAAAAAGTTTACTTACAAATATATCTTACGAACATATACAACATAATATATATTATATATTATTGTAAAACATCAAATAGCATTCATGGAAAGAACGGTTTTACTAAAGTATATAAAAATTTAATTACAGATTCTCTTAATCTTCTTAATAATTATGTGATGATAAAAATAATTTCTAGAATATCAAAATTATTTGCAGCATTGTTTATGTTTGAGTTTTCTAAATAATTACTTTGATAGTCCAATAAAATTATTTTTAGATCTGTATCTATATTTAAATTTTAAGATAATTTAACAAAATCGTTCTTTTCGTGTTGGTGAGAGAAAGAGACAAATATAATAATATAATATAATATAAAAGAGCAATTCCATTAATTTCTGTATACCCAAAGACAAATGTTACCTTCAATGAAAATGTTATAATTACAGAAGATATATGTATATATAATATACATACACAAAGTTTTTTATCCCAAAAATAATCCTAACTGAACATATCTTAAATTAATAATTACAGTGTATTAAAAAAAATACCAAATTAAAAACCAGGCGAGCATGGCATAATGGGACAAGCTGAATAATGTGGTGCTACGAAAATTAGTGTAACGTGGCCCCCGCAGATTCAGCTGACCCCAATATGCAGATTGTTAGCAGTGTGTTAGCAGTGTGCACAAGCAAAAGCCCAGCTGATATTGCAGTTCTGCAAATTGATCATTTTTAACATACATAGATAATAGCCGAATTAAAATTTCAAATTAATTTTGTAAAGTCGTGATTAAATCGACAGTGCGCATCTTAATTAAACATTCGTATTAGATGCTATTAAATTTATAAGGGTACACCATTAAAAAACTAATATCACGCTATTAAATTATTCTTATAATTTCACCTTCAAGTAAAATAGAATTAATAATATGACCCATTTGTCATATTATTAGTTTGTCACGAAAACATATATAATAAACGTTATTTACAAATTTTTAAAGGAAATTGGTAAATATAATTTCTTATAAAAATAATTCAAATATTCTTGTGCTTACAAATTTCAATTAGTGTTTTTATACATAATATACATGTGAAGAATATAATTTTTAATAAAAAGTATTATATTAAGCATCGAAAAAGAGTAGATATTAATAATATATAGCTATGGAAATTATGTTCCAAGCTAGATTAATAAAAGCTTAATAATAATAAGTTATATAAATCTACATATAAATAATAAAAAATTCTTTAAAAAATATATTTTTTCCATTAAAAAGCACAATTGGTTAAATTAAAAGAGTTAGTATAATATTAATATATTTATTGTGTGATTATATAAATATATAAGAGAAAAAGGAAGGAGAAAGTACTTTTGCATCGTTCATGTTATCATAATATATGTATAATAATAAAAAAGGAGTAGCACAAAGAGTTTTTTGAAAAACAATTAACCGAACAATTTCCTATTTATATTACTTACTTTCATACAGATTCTGCCAAGTTTTTAACAAAATCAACTGTAATATTCAGATTTCGAAACAGACTTCGAAAGACAAAATCCTGATACAAAATCTGACTGCATTCTCTCGAAATCGTTCTCATCAGGATTTAGAATCCAAATTCACCTTGTCCCGTTTACAGAGAGTAATATTCTGGAGTGAAAGAGAGAGAGAGAGAGAGAGAGAGAGAGAGAGAGAGAAAGAGAAAGAGAGAGAGAGGGGAAGAGAAAGAGACAGAAGCGATTTGTTTATATTTCCCAGTAAATTTACGGGGTCGAACGTACGTCTCTAAACGGATTTTCTTGAGTGCCACCAGCTTTCCAGTCAGTTTGTCCCGAGCTTTGTAGACCACCCCATACGTTCCTTCCCCTATCTTCTCGATTTTCACGAAGTTGTCCATAACCTCAACGTTGCCGCGCTCGTCGTCACCGCCACCGTGTGCCCGGGGACGCCGCTCCTCGGCCAGGGTCGCCGTCGCCGCGCCTTCCCTGACCTTTTCCACGGACGACGCCGTCGTTGATCCGTTTCTGCCGAGTATTGTCGACACTTCGAAACGTCGAGAATACGATTAGCTCGTTACGAGCCGTTTTATTGCCGCCTGTTTATCAACACCGGTCGAGCTAAGGACACTCGGCCGCAGTGTGCGCGCCAGTGGTGAGTGGCCATTTTTATTTTTTAGAGAAGATGGAAAGAGGAATCGATAGTGCGAATCGATGGATTTGTCCTCGAGATCGATGGTCGTCAACCCGCGTTAAATAATCGACAACATGAGGGTGAATAAACTCTCATCTCGCACGTGCATTGCGACATAAATGTAAATAATCCTCATTGAGTGGCCATTAATTTTAAAATTATTAAAAAAGATCAATCGCTATTAATCCTAGAATCATATTTTTTTTACATTAACACTATTCTGAAAATTTGCTTACATATTTAAAAATTGTTTATTCTTTTTTTTTATATTTATTTTAATTTTTTATATTTACTAAATCACAAGAGTAATTAAACTATATTATTTTAAATAATAAATAGCTGATATTCAATAGCTTGTTATTTAATTATCTATCGATAGTACATGATTCATTATTGTATATGCAAGAAACCCAAAATATACAAGGTTCTTTTTCTTTATCAAGTTTAGTTCAATGTGGAAATACTTTAAATTTTCTCTCTTTAAATTTTCTTCTCTATATAAAATTAAAATTAAATCATACATTTAATTTTAAAAAATACTTAGGATTAGAAAATAGGCAGCACGCACATTGTTTTGTAAAAAAATAAACTTGAATATTAAATAGTCTTATCAAATGTTATTTTAAGCTATTAAAATTTTTAATAACAAAATGTGTACTAAACTTGAAGTAATACTTGGATGAAAATCCTTCCATATCAGCACACATTCCAGAATTAAGACTTTATATTATAAATTTTGTTTTGTTAATACTTTACTCCGCGATGCCAAAGTAAAAGAAAAATTCAAGTAATTCTATTTATCTTTTCGGAAAAAGACTTTTAACGGTCTTTCAATAGTCCCAATTAATGGAATATAAATAGATAATCATTACTAAAAAAATTAATTAATTAGAAAAAGCTGATCTTTTATAGACTATATAGATGCTACCGCGATTCTTTTGATTTCGATTGATCAAGAGATGTTTCTTTTAATATCAAATAAATGCATATCCGAACCTTTATCTATTTATTTATATATCGCAATTGCGCTACACGAGAGCTCTAACAATTGAGACTTTTGTTGTTTACAATTGATTAACCTCTTATATTTCTTCAACGTTGTGCAATAGCATGCTTCTCTATCTCACAATTAAAATTCTTTAAATCTTCATGCTTAACATATTCGAGATTATTCATCATCCATTGAAATGCGCGAGTATCGGAATTAACATAACATTTTCGAGATTCAGTTCAAATCTCCGAATTAAGCGATGTCGCGATTCTTTGGGAAGGATATATATAAAGACTGCTCCTTGTAGTCGAGTTTTCTATACTTTCTACTTTTTGCCATTCAACGCGCAATTATACATGGTTTTTTTTTTATTTTAACTTCAGAAAATGTGATTTGTAACGCGGTTACAAAGAATGGGCCTGTAGAATCAGGACATTCAGTGTGAAGAGATAAATCGAATATAATTCGAATATGATCTCTAACATGTACAATACAATAATTTCCATCACCTAAGATTGTCAAACACTCAAATCCTCCCGTACGCATCAGATTTTGATTTCG